ACTTGCTATCGTCCAACCCATGTTAGGAATCACACGTTGAAAGGTAAGACCTCGTTAGTCCTTAGCTCGCACAAGTTGTCGTTCGTAGGGGTGTCACAGCTGGTTAACGGAATTCAGACAGAAAATAGTAATAGTGCAGTCAATATAGGATTTTTTCTTGTTCTCATTATATTCTCATACTATTATAGTAAATGGTATGAGAGTAGCGTTATTCGAACTGTATATAGTACTATTGGGGTTTTTCGATGATTTTCAAATATTTTTTAGTTTTCCAGAAGAAAAAGGTCCAATCGGCATCAATTTTACAACATATTCAAACAATTAGGACAGTTTCTTCATATAATTTAGTACTTTCAAACAGCCATAGAAATAAAGTTCTGATTTTCAGTTTGTGTCGGGTATATGGTTACTCCTCTTTATTGGTTTGCCAGCCGTATCTATCTATGGAACTCTATTCGAATACTCCCGATTGACATCTGCATTACTGGGACCTACTCTAAAACCACTCTTCGCTTCAGGCGTAGCAATAGGCCTGTTTGGAATGATCCATGGTTTGGGAGGTAAGTAATATACAGAGTGGTCCAACGAAAAGTATGCACCCTGCTTTTCTCCTTTTTTTGTAAATTAATGCAAAAATGCTCGGACAGGTCAATTTTGCTTTTGAAGGGGACACATTTTAGATGTATTTTTCTACCTGTGCCATCAACCCCCTAGCGAGGGTGAGTAACAACCCTAAAAGTTTAAATAGAAAGTGGGATCGAGTGATATATCATTTGAAAGGGCACAAAATTATCTTTCCAATGATACCTAATTTGTTGTATTTCACTCAAACATGTAGGTATTATGAACAAAAACAACTACAACCCAGTACTTTGAAATGTGTAATTGACTTAGTAGAATCTATTCCTAACATTCTGTAGCATATCAGGTTCTATACTTCTGCACTCTTCTGTAATTCGTTGGCGAAGATCTTCTATGGACTCGGGCTGCGTAGCAAAATATTTATTTTTCAAGTGTCCCCAAAGGAAAAAGTCTAAAGACGATATATCAGGTGACCTGGCAGGCTATTCGAAACCAAGAAACCGGTCATCTAAAAACTCTCTTACCGGAGCAACTTAGTGAGGAGGTGCTCCATCTTGCTGGAAATGAAGCCGATCATCAGTAGATTTTGGTCATTTTCAATTATTTCGGTTATGAAAAAATCAATTGTATCTTCAAGCCTGTTCAGGTAGACCTCACCAGTTAAATTCCCAGGAATGAAGAGTGGCCCTACGATATGACTACCTAATATGCCACACCAGACGTTGATTTTTTGAGGGTACTGGGTATGGACCTCTCGGTGGGGTTACTGTCATCCCAGTAACGGCAATTATGCCTATTCACAGCTTCATTAAGGAACTGAAGCACTTGTAGTATGCAATGAGGTGGAGCCCCATCTTGTTAAAACATTTGATCATTTTATAATATAGGATCTAACTGGAAGGCGTTGTTGATGGTCAGCGCAACTTGGCCCTTCAACATGGTTACCTGAAATTTCTGTAAAAACATTTAGTGTTTTGGGTTATTGGATGTGAATTTGGCATGCTTTATTGGGATTATAATCACTTCAGTATCGAAAATGTTGACTATTTACTTCCCTGTTCAAATGAAAGGTATATCCACCCGAAAAACATGTGGTGTGTAATTAAACGGAAAAGTTCTCGATAAAAATAATCCAAACTCCACCCCCACTACGTAAAAAAGTTTCAAGACCTGTTACCTGCTAAAAATAAATAAAATAAATTGAATAGTAACAAACGACTTCGGTATTAAGCGCTGTCATCGAATACATTGCCTACGCAGATGTTCATTGATAAAGATAAAGTATGTCTTTCGGATTGTAAGGGTGATGTCATGTACACTATTTCTCTTTGCAGGTATCATTAAAAAAATGTGTGAATGGGACTATGCAGAATTTGTTGCCAGATGGTCATATAGCACGTATCTCATCCATTTTTTCATTGTCTTCGGAAGGCATCTACTTAAGGAAGGATTGGAAGAAATTTCCCATGAAATAATGGTAGGTGTGAAAGTGTTTCACTGGAAGAAATTTCGGACGATATGTTTCTCATAATAACAATAATTGACGATATATTCATGAAATGGAAAATCTGAACTTGAAGATATTAAAACTGGGCTGGAACTATTTTATAGATATTGCTACATTTTTCCCCCGTGAGTTGACCAATAATTGACTACACTGAACAATCAAACTTGACTTTATTTCACTTCGAATACAACAAACACTTCAACTATTATTCGAAAGTCTATCACCTTACTAGATCGGTTCGCGTACCGCACTGTCAATATGCTCATGCTGGCGTTTATATATCGTAATCGAATGCACTGGAAAATTTCGACGGAATTCCATCAACATCGGTAGCATCATTCTCAGTGCATCTAGAGCGGCAGCGAACATTGTATATTCGCGCGCTCATAGCTACGTCACAATTGGTTAATGGCTACCAGTAGCGGCCGGCGTTATTTTCTTTAGGGCATGATTTACAACAATATGTCCTTGTATTTTACAGTTTCAAGGTGGGTGGAAACTGCGATCTATTATGAGTGCAACAAATGAGATTTCATTTGTTGAGTATAAAAATCATAAGTTGAATACTGCCAAATTTCGCGCATGTTTTCACAACCGTATCAGATGTACTTAGAGTGACCAAATCAAGCAACAGACTTATCAGGTTGAAGAGAATGAGGTCCAAGAGTGAAGTACTTTCGTTTCGAAAAATTTTATCCAAAAAAGTTTTATTTCCCGGTGATGCTAACTTGGTTAGCAGAACACACTTTGAAAAATGGTGTTTCAGTTCTGGTGTTTCCACCATTTTCCCATTATATTCAATAATTACATCCAAAAATGTCATGAAAATTCTAATTATGTTTGGTAGAAAACGAAAGCTATTTCTTCACAAGTTTATCCATACATTTGTTGTGTAGACTAGTGTTTTTGTCGCTATTCATTATTTGCTCATCAAAACATTTCAGAAATCTACTCTTGAGTTGAAACAATAGCCATATCGTTCATTTTCATGAATACATTAAAGACGCGTGTGTATTTTTTAATTGTCCCAACTGTATTGAACACATTTCAGTGGTAACGTTCCGTAAAATATCTGCTGTATCATGAATTGTTTCACAATTACTTCCGAGAATTGGAATTGGATTTTCCGTTTCTGGTAAACATAACAATATTCCAATTTGAAACTATGAATATTAATTAAACAAAACCTGTACAGGTTCTTTGATTGCTCATTTGTTTTTTCCATGGATATTGACAATATTAAATGATATAGATACAGAAATGAAATACTTTGTCTAATTTCCACTTACTTATTGTATTGATATTAATACGACCAAAGTTTCGGTTTTTACACCATTCTCAAGTATTCTAACACTACTGACCTAAGATAAATTTTGGAGTATATATATCCGAGAGTAGGTAATAAGATATATACCTACATTCATTAATACTAAATACATAAACTTCAAACTGTGATTAATTGCGTTGTCATCTTTATGAATTCAAAAGTGGAGACCTACACAAATCTGTTTAAGGGTTCTATATTTTGAGTTGAAATAATTTGTTGGAAGCCATGGAAATCATGGAATTTGTTGGAAGCCATGATTTCCATGGCTTGTAACAAATTCATTTTCCTTCCTTTACTACATGTATGTAATAAAAACCTCAAATTCTTACATACATGTAATGAAGGAAAGAAAATGAATTTGTTGGAAGCCATGGAAATCAATAATTCAATTAAAAACTCAAAATATAGAACCCTTAACGAACAAACAGATTTATGTAGGTCTCCACTTTTGAATTTATAAAGATGACAACGCAAATAATCACAGTTTGAAGTTTATGTAGTTAGTATTAATGAATGTAGGTATATTTCTTATTACCTACTCTCGGATATATACAATACTCCGATATTTCTCTTAGGTCAGTAGTGTTAGAATACTTGAGAATGGTGTAAAAACCGAAACCTTGGTCGTATTAATATCAATACATCAAGTAAGTGGAAATTAGACAAAGTATTTTATTTCTATATCTATATCATTTGAATGAAAATGAATTTCCACAAAATAAATAAGTCATCAATATCACAAATATCAACAATAGTTTCATTTTGTTTCATCAATATTTGTGCTGATTTGAAGAATTTTTGTTACAGTTTCACAAACAAATTTATTTTTTCTTCAATAAATTTTGTGTCTTGTTGAAAAAAAATTGTAAAACTTCAGATTTGGCAGTTATCTGGAAAATTATATGGACATGAGAAATTATCACAAATACCCTGCAAATAATTATATTTGTAACGGTGTAGAGTGTGGTTTATCAAGAGATTAACAAATCAAAATTCAAATATTATCAGAAGAAGCTTCAAATCTTCTATAAGCGAATCATTTCTGATTTTTTTTTGGTTAATTTTTTTTTCAGTTCACATCAGCTGTTTCGGACATAATTCAGTCATTTATTGCTGGACTGGTGCTCCACCTCACGATAGAACGTCCAATGGCGTACGTTTTTATGGGCGTTTTGTCTAAGAAAAACCTCAAAGAAGCTAGAGGAGTACAGAAAACCAAATAAATAAAATGAATTCATTTGTTTATGTAGATGTAAGAGTAATTTGTTTAATATATTTTTTACGAAATCTAAGTTTATTTATCAATCTAAGAAACATATACATATTTGTTTAGTTAACATTGTGAATTTCCACAACAGGAGAACAATTTCAATTAAAGGGTCTCATTTGAATTTCATCAAGCTGATACATACGAAATTTATGGTTTTGTTTGAGAAAAACCGCCGCAGGAAATGCCCTTGCTGTTGGAGGTGGAGTGGGGGAGGAAGAGGGTGCACTCATAGTTGTAAATGCGCTTACGCCTTGGCCTCTGTATTACATCACGAGGTGATCTGCTATGTCCAGCCTCGTTCCAAGCGGTAGATTGGGGTGGACATTTCTGTTCATCCCCAGCAACCGCCTTAGATTGAGGTGAGCACTTCTGTCCAGCCTCGGGATTAGTTTTTGTTTTTATTGTTTCTGTTTCTGTGTTTGTTTCATTCATGTGTGTTCTCTCGAGTAGCAAGGAAAGAGTTGGTCACATCTGGCAGAGCCCCAAATCACTAGAGGTAGGCTGATGAGGTTTCGCGTAAACAGGCACGCAAAACGTACTCAGACGCACGCGTTCGCGTTTGTTTCGAACGTTTTTCGTGCGTTTTCGATCGTTTTGCGTGCGTCTTCGATCGTTTTTCGTGTGTTTTCGATCGTTTTGCGTGCGTCTCCGACCATTATACCTTACTTCTGTTAGTTGAATTGACTGTGTCATGAAACCATCTTTGTTCATCTACTGGTGTCTCTCGGTGGCCTCCGCGAAAGTTTTGGAAGATGCACCGATATTACTCTCGTTGCACGGCTTGTTTAACCTTCGTGGGGTTCCCTCCATGGAGGTCCAAAAGTGAAGGAGCTTTTCTGCAGAGGCAGCCGGTTCCTTGCTTTTATTCAAGGCGGAGCTCTTGGCGCCCATCGCAGGAAGTGCCCTTGTTGATTGAGGTGATCTGCTATGTCCAGCATCATTCCAAGCGGTAGATTAGGGTGGACATTTCTGTTCATCCCCAGCCACCACCTTAGATTGAGGTGAGCACTTTTGTCCAGCCTCGGGATTGGTTTTTATTTTTGTTGTTTCTGTTGTTTCATTCATGTGTGTTTCCACGAGCAGCAAGGAAAGAGTTGGTCACCTCTAGCAGAGCCCCGCATTACCAAAGGTAGGCTGATTACAATGAGGTTTCGCCCAGTTTCAAAAAGGGATCGTTCGTAACTGCATATCACCCTGCGGCCATTCAGCTGTCGACAAGATTCCTTACACCTTAGCTTGGGTAGGCTGGTCCACGGTAGCATGTTTTGCAAAGGCTTCTGGGGGGTTTCAGTTCCTCTCACTCTGCTCATTTCTGCCACTGACCAGGGGTCCGGCGACCCCGTCCATAAGGCCACAAGGGCTTTCCGGACAGGGCCTCCAGTCCCCTGGCCGTTCCCCTATCCCCCACATGGGGAAACAACCGATAGGTAGACCAACCCACAGGCAGCTTCGATGATGAAAGTGTTCAAAAGACATTCATCGACTGCCACTTGTAGGGAACGTTCTTTCAAGAAGCTGGGGAGCCATACACAAAAATGATGCAAGCCATAGCATGGAAATTTGGCCAGCAAACCACATATCACACAAATACACTTCTTTGGAACAGTAAAATAGTGATTAACAAAAGCTTGAAAACATTAGTATTGTTGAAAACTTGTAAAAAATGCTCACTTTCAAGTATTTTCAACTCCTTTTGTAAATATTTCCATGAGTAACCGATGAATTTGTCGACATTAATAATGCAATCAAAAATAATTGTAACCATTGTTCTACCAGAAAAAGTTATACCAACGAAATCCACTCTCTGATGGGCATATCTGTTTGTTTATACAATAACATCTTTTCAACAAATCTGACCTTTTGTAATATTTGGCAACCCTGTAGCTAGTTCAAATTTGGAATTGAACAGAGGTCCGCAATACACTCAAGATTGTATCAGTTGATTGCTGAACATACATACGTTATAAATTCAGGATGTGAAATAGGATTATCGTATTTTGTTCTCTGAAGATTTGGAAGCAAGAAGTCATGTCGAACAACATCCGCACCGAAGAAGTTGAAATTAAATTATTTTCAAAGTAATATCTTTACGATTTTGGTTTCGTTTATTTTATTATCATATATAATCTGGGACTTCATTTCGAATTACATATGGCACTAGATAATCAAGATGATGTATTATAATGAAATGAAACAAATAATAGGTTTCGGAAATAATGTTATTCATTTCGACACATAATTAAATTCACTCCAGCTCATCTTTTTAGGACAGTTGAGTCCTGCAAAATGTTTTCAATCATTGCATTGAAGTCATCATGAATTTCCACGGAATAAACAAGTTATCAATTACACAAACCACTGATGAGACCTACTCTAGGTCGAAATAGTGCTGTGTGATCACGAACACTTTGTTTTTTTGGCCCTGCTTTCAATCGAATACGTTTATTTGTCAAATTATAATATAACTTTCAGATTGAATACTTTACATTTTCTGGGAAGCCTTCTATTTGATATCTATATCATCATTATTCAATATCCACATCTTGAAGGTTCATGAAAAACATTATCCACTATCCTTGGAAGTCTGCAATGTTGGATTCTGGGTGACAAAGTTTCATTTTTTCGTGTTCATATTAGCTTTTTCATTCAAATAATATCCATGTCACGTGGGTGTATAACAAACATAATCCACCATCTTAAGGACTCCGTAATATTGGATTTAGAGTCACGTTTCATTTTAGTATTATTTTCATTTGATACTCAAAGCATGGGAGTGCATCGAAAATAATTATTCCGACATCTTGCTCGGTCTCAAAAATATGAAAATTTCAAATATAAATATGACGTTCTGGGAATAACCTCTGTTTCCTTTTTCGAATTCTTGAAAATCAGTCTAAAAATTGTTTCTAATCCAAAATCTTTCTTGTTCATCTACACTCAAACTTAAACTCATTTTGTAATGAATATTTCAATCCTAGTATATAATTTTCTTTTCCAGTTAGAAACCAACGGTTTTGCCGTCGTTGAAGGATTATTTTCCAACAATGAAGTAGAAGAAATGAAAAATGAAATTCGAAGAATAATTAAGGAAATGCCAAGTGTGTCACATCGAACAGAATTCAGTTGTGATGATTCAGAGTCTGAACTAGTAAGTACACCTCTAATCAATAATACTAGTTTGATATACAGGGCTATTCAAATTCGTTTCTATACATGGGGAACTCGTAAACGATAAGAGATAGAGTGTCGGTTTAATTGTGGCAGAGTTGCGTATTCAATGATGTAAAAAAAAAGTCAGATGACACCCTGTATAAGAGATTCATGGACATATTCTGATAGCCCACATCAAGTGCCAATAGCAAAATGTGGACAGATTTTCAATATGTCTGCAAATGAAGAAGATATAGGCAAAACTATATTTGAGATTTTTTGGTTTTTCCTGTATATCTCCAGAACCAATAGAGCTTTATTCGATTTTTTCACATCATTGAATAGGTATTTAAAATACGCAACTTTGTCAAAATTCAACCGACACTCTATCTCTTATCGTTTACGAGATCCCCGTGTACAGAAAAGAATTTGAATAGGCATGTATATGACAGTTTTTCAACAACCATCAAAATTCCCTGTCGTGTCTGACTCTCCGTCTTTCTGTCTGTCTGAATGCAATAAACCCAAAAAAGTACCGAACGAATTCTCAGCGGTTTACCAATGGAGGGAGTGACTCCACAGAAAGGTCTATGGGTATAATTCAATAATCTTTCGTGTAAATGTCTTTAAAATATAACAATGATATGATGCTCTGAAGTCCAGGTTGAACCACCTCTAGTGTTTTTAGTTGTTCAAGATTTTTGCTTCGACTTTGAAACCATTTTCAAAAAGCTTTGACTACACTGAGGTCCTAATCTGCCTACTCCTTAGTTAGTGACACGCTGTAAGGGTTTCGAGACTTGACGTCGGGGTCTCAATTCACCTACTGCTAAGGTCTCTTTGCTGGTCTCTGCAACGATTCCAATCTGCCTACTCTAGGCAGATCGAGACCCCGGGGAGTAGGCAGATCGAGACCCCGGGGAGTAGGCAGATTGTGATCCCGGTGTCAAGTCACGAAACCCTTAAGCGTGTCACTACCAAAAATAAAAAACCTGTGCTTTCCTTTGCCAAGCTTTTGCTTTTGATGGGGAGCTTCTCCAGGGCCTGTAATTCATTAGGTTATGGATATTTCCTCGAATAAAATTACAAAACTATACTCATAGTAAAGATGAGTATTAAATTGTCCATATCCTAATTCCCATTTGTATCAGATCCTCCACAGCTTGTTTCTCCACCTAACTCGTGGCCTTTCCATTTCTCCCTTGTCAAGTTACTCCTTGTTCATAACTTTCCTGACCATACTTGCATCTTCCATTTCTGAAATATGTTCTAGCCATCGAATCCTTTAAGCTTTGATAATCTTGGTCGTCTATGTATTCCGTACAGTTTTTTGTTATTTCTTCTTTCCCAAATACCGACCACCCTCTCCTTACATCCTCTTCAGCATCATCTTTTTTCCATTTCCAAGAGTCGCAGGTTGACGTTACTGTTGGTCTAATAACCATTTCAACAGCGTTGTTATCATTTAATAGAACTGGCTGATACTTGATCAAAATCCATATTGAAATTCATTAATACAGTTCATTGTATGATTTTCATTATAAAAGGTTTTACAAAAACCACGACACGTGTTTTGCTATATAATAACTTTCTCAGCTGGAAAAGCAACATGGAATATGGATCCTAAATATGTCTGGCTTTCAACTTCCTCCATCGTTATATTTTGCCCATGTTCCTGCTCCCCGATTTCTATATTGATCTTCTTTCTCTTCAGTATTTTCTAGCTTCATATATTTGGTCTTGTCGCATCAATTTTCACACCTATTCGGCTTGCTCCTTTCTGAAATTTCCTCGTGGTGCCTGAGAGGACTCGCTGCTTCTGCGCCATTATAACAACAACTCTGCATAATCTAGACAATGACTACTCCTGTTATATATAGATTTCTTGGTCTGTAGCTAACTTTCCGCTATTACATGTACCAGAACGAAATTGAATAGAACAGTGAAATAGGGTCACCTTGTCTCAGTCCTTTGTTAAAGAGCATCTTTCCGTAACTTCGTTTCCTACTTCCACTTTATAATTGGTGTTGGTTACAGTCATCACAAAGTTAACCTGCCTAAGGTTATGTATATGATCAACTACGGATTTTCCTTTTCTGAAACCCGCTTGATAGTATCCAATTTGTTCTTCCATTATTAACTCTAACCTCTCTCTAATTAGAAAGCCACATCTACCGGTGTTTATACTGGTGAAAACTTAAAATTTCGACTTCAAAGTCAAAAGTTTATTGTGGGATTTCCATTGGACCGTTAGATTGTCATCAACTATCGGCCATTTCCATCACATATCCAAGTACATAGTCAAAATTCGGAGCATAGAATTAAAATTTCCAGTTTTGAAGTCGTAATTTTCAAGAAACCAATAATAAAAATACGTACCTGAACCTTTTGCGTTTCTATGCAAAATAACCTCCATCGGTGTTAACTCGCCCATTTTTTTTTCAGAAAAGAAACGCCTATTTCCTAGACAGTATCGACAAAATAGGCTATTTCTTCGAAACAGGCGCAACAGGCCCTAATGGCGAATTACTCGTGGATCCTGAAGTATCCCTTAACAAAATTGGACATGGCCTCCATGAGGTCAGTCCAGTTTTCAGAAAGTACACCTTCTGCAACAGGATCAAGGATATCATTCGTGAACTTGGTTACAAGGAACCCGTCATACTTCAGAGCATGTATATTTTCAAAAATCCTGATGGAAAAAGAAGTGAAGGTAATAGTGAATTGATGAAAACTTGAATCTCTAGTAACGCTGCCTTGATTTAATTCTAATTTTTTTCTATGTCTACATTTATTCGACACAATTCAATATTTACGACTTGGAGGATCTAATCCGATCTCAACTCAACACTCTCTTCCTTTTGCTGATGTGCTTGAAATACATTTGAGAACATTCCAAGCAGTTATTGAAGTCGTTAGTTATCTCAAAATTTTGTACATTCAAGACCATTTCGAAAATAATTTGGTTTCTTTTCAATTAAGTATTTTGTGGATTTGTACTCTCGAATGTTCTAAACTGTTCTGAAACTTCCTAAATGGCGAAACTTTCAGCTGGTATATCTTCACAAGCATGCCCTTCAGGTGAAAACTCCTTTCAAGGACGAGCTGATGTGATAATTTGATACAAAGTAAAAGCTAGACGAGAGGTCATCATCATCATTTGTGTAAATTAAATGTGACGATATAATCCATTACAAGTCGGGAGGTGTCAAAAATGAAATATTACTCAACCAGTTCTATTTATAGTCATGCTCCACCAAGACGCAACATTCCTCTACACGGAACCTCAAAGTTGTACAGGTGTCTGGATAGCCTTAGACGACGTTACCAGAGAGAAAGGATGTTTGTGGTGCGCAAAAGGTTCGCACAAGAGTGGAGTTCATAGGAGATACATCAGAAATCCCGACAGGAACGCAAAGGATCTTTTTGCTTTCACTGCGCCTCTCCCCGATTACGACAAGAGCAGCTTCACCCCTGTTCCTGTGACTAAGGGTATGTGACTAAGGGTAACAGTACTAATAACCATCAACATTGATGATCAGATGATAAATTCACTATAATTTCCAAAGACATTGAATGCAACAGCTTTGAGAAAAATTCAATGGAATTATGGAAATTCGATATAAAACTCACTTCAACACCCAAATATTTCCTTCAATGGTGTTACTGAAAAGAAACCAGAACTCAAAAACAATTCCAATACCAGATAGCTCTATTAAAATCCTCCTCAGTTCTCACTAGTGTTGCTGAGCTGAATCATGAGCTCATATTTTTAACTCAGTTGTCCCTCAGATATCCCCCTCTCGTGTTATCTAATCAATAGACAGCTTGACTTTGCTGCACGTCTCCTTTGGGAGCATCGTTCATCTTCAATATCGGTTTGAGTCTTGTGTCGATATCATAGATAGCATCCTGGTTAACCCTAATTCTACTTATGTGATACATGGTAGGTCTGTAATACCTAGCGAATACTAGGCGTGTTTTGAAAGATGCAAAGACAGATATATTTGTCATGTAACTGAAAACCGCTCAGGATGTAAATATGGGCCCTTCAATATTCAGCGAAATAGGTTTTCTGGTGACCTCCGTCGCACGTTGGAGACTGTTACAAAGAACGGTTTGAGAAACGAGGAATCTATGATTTCTTCCTAGCTTTTTTGAAGGCAGAAAAGACAGGAGCATACATAGCTTTCGCTAGGTATTACAGGTCGGAACAGTGAAAGTTTTCTCTTTGAACTCTGGTTTCATCTAGTTGCCTTGCAATGAAAACTGGATAAAGACAGACTCGTTCGAATTAGATTTGACCTCAACCGCCCTCCATGGGTTTCTCAGTTCTTAATTTCTTAAACAAACCTAGGAGGCTGGGTAGTGCAGCCAGGAAGCGATGTGTTGCCTCCTCAAGAGAGAGGATGCCTTTCGAATATATCTTGAGCAGCAGAATCAGAGTCTGCATAAGAAGAGAAAATAATTTTCTCCTGAGGAAGAAGGCTCTGTAAACACTTATGCTCAAACAATAATTCATCAAATCAGAATAGTTAACGGGCAGTTTCGTCATATGGGAAGGTTGCTACGGAGATCAATGTGGGAGTCTCGCACAGTGAACATCCAGTAACCGCAATTGGCTATGATTCCAGAACTGCACGTTCGGCCTGGTTGACTATAGGCTGCCTGGGAGGATTGAGAGAGCATCTTCCGGCTGATAGGTGCCATATATTGGTGTTGCCTACCTGACTGACGAAGATAGTCGCAGACTCACTAGATTTAGAAAAACGTACCTTGGCAGCTGACCTGAAAGGTCACCCCCCAAATGAAGTAATCGACTCCATTAAGTACATTTATTTCATTGAGTTGAATAGGGGTGACCGATTCGACCCGATTCGCACAATGAACTTTCGAGGCAGCAGGGAAGGGTCGAAGATTGATTGAAAACATTGATTGCTTTGTGTACACAATATGAATAAGTAGGGAGCCCTGCTATAGAATCACGCTTCTTCCGAGGTGGTGTTAGCTTACATGGTTATTTGGGCTTTGGCTCAACAATTTTTTTCCAAACTAAATCAGTACATCTAGAGTGTTGATGGTAAGTTTTCACAGTTTAACAATAAGGTGACAATGCTCCTAATTCTAGGATAGTAGGGTTAGTGACTTTCCTCATGGTCACCGGGCATTGCGATTCACGCTTCTGATATGGTGTGGTAACTGACCTTAGTCGTGGTTGCATCGAGTGGTCCGGGTACTGTAGCAAATGATCGAATAAAGGCAGAGTTGTGATTCAGATAGGCCTTAGGTGGGTTAGAGGAAGTGTTCAAACTCTAGGGTGACGCCGGGTTGTGAACAGTCCCCTACATGATATCTAGTGGGAACTCGTTAAGGATGTACTGGAATCGCTCGAGGATGTCCTTCAGGACTCCTGGGAGCCTGACTGTGGGAAACGGGAGCTTTTTCCACGGGACCCTTCTTTCAGAAGATGGCCAGCGTGTCAATGGCAACAACGTTAGGGCTTTTCAAGTAATCTATTAATATATTGGCCTTAGAGTTCCTGGAATCCAAAGTTCGTTGAAGGGGAATCGGTAAGGAAGGTTGTGAATATTTCGTAGAGTATTCTCGTCTCAGTTGTTAGTATGCCAGGATTGTCTCCGAGAGATCGTGTCTCGTAGATCATGGACCGGTCCTATGAACATTTGATATGTGAGTAGTAGAGTCTTACTAGCAGGTCACCAAGTCTTGAAGTGAGAGGTTCTCTCCCAAGAGTCTGTGGTCCAAGCTATTTTGGTTAATTTTGAGCGGGTTGTGGTGTTAGGGTGCCCGAAGAAAATGGTTTATGCTTTGGTATGGTTAATTTTAATTCGCCGCGTGCGCCAGACGGCAAAGTGGGGTAAAGGAAACTAACCCACCTTTTATTTCATCTATAAACGTGCATTGTCTTCGATTTTTAACATCTCCAGCTGTCTCCAACTACTGTATTTCATTTTCCAATTGTTGTTGGACGAATGAACCATTCCTTAGCTGCCTATTTTTTTCCAATAGGTAATCTAAGCTTGTGACTATTTGATATCATTTCGATAGGTCTGTATATATCCAAAACAAGCTCTGCTTCAGCACACCAGAACTGCAACACTCTCCTCAACGCGCGTTTTCTCATTCGAGTGAAATAGAGGAATCAATGGTTGAAATGTCAAAGGTGGTTTCTTAAGGGAATTCTTCAAGTTTACTGCTTACTCACACAGAGGGAAACTGTGTCAGATCAAAACAGTTGGTTGGTATCATAAAATGCAATGCTTTTGGGGTCTGGAAGAATCCCATTGCGTCGTACAATTCCAAAATTTTTCCGTTATCAGTTTTTCCACAAAATACTTTTCTCATTAATATTTTCTCTGTTTCAGGCTCCTGCGTATTTATCCACGGCCAAGTAGTTCACTACAGTGAGACGAATGAAACTGAAGAATCCAGAAATGCCTATACTTTCCATATTGTCGAACAGAACAATACAATTTATCCTGAGAACAACTGGATACAGCCTAAAGAAGGAAAAACATTCATGAAACTGTTTGACAATCGAATACTATGAAATGAGTTGATCCTGGAGTAACTAGAACTGATACGAAGTCCTAGAAATATCACAGCTCTTGAGAATTATGTAATTTTATATTCTTATGAATTATTACTTCAAAAATTGAAATTAAATATAATCCATGATTAGATTTTGAAGTATTATTTTGATCAAAATAAGTAAATACCTACTTCAAGTCGCGACAGTTTTTATTACATCGAGTCCATATCAATTAGGAAAACAATATTGACTTTTTGGAAAGAAGTGTTTTGGCTTTTTTCTTCTAAATTTTTGTACAAAAATAAGGAAGTCTTCCAAAGCCAAAACCTTTCTTTCCAAAAATTAATCCCTCCTAAAAGTGTACCCCTTTCAATTTGAATACTGATAAATACAATAATAATAATGATAAACGACTTTATTGCTTCCATATATAGAATGGAAAGAATACATATATAATGCGAATTTGGCCCAAAGCAAAAGGCACAGGTCACTTTATAAGATGATATAAAATCAGCTAATAAACATATTTGGTAAGTATAACTACGCCGCGCAACGACATTACTGTCGTTGCGCGGCTTCTTCAACCTTTTTGGGGTTCCCTCTGTGGAGGTGCACAAGTGAGGGAGCTTTCCTGCAGGGGCAAGGAATAGCAGCATGTAATATCCTTCTATTGGGTGAATATGGGGTTCCATATTCGATTGAGGTTCACCGCTTCTTTTTTTCTGTTGAAATTCTCCGTGTGTTTGAGGATCTCTATTGCCTCCCGTACCAGTCGGTTATAGTACCCCTGGTTGGGGGCCATTATTTCTGTGTTTTCAAACAAAATTATGTGGTATATCCTTCTATTGGGTGAGTGTAGGCCCACAGCACTTAGGCCACATGTGACCCATTGTACATCCTCCCGAGGAGTTGTCCTCCTAGGTCATCGTCCATCTTGTCCTTTCCAAGAAGGTGGATAAATCACTAGGAGAGAACTTCTTAATATTGACAGGTGTAGGCCAAGACTCACTCAACACACTCTCTCTTTGGCAACCTTGAGGTTCCTTACGGTGGCCTCCGCAAATGTTTTGGTAGATGCAGCGACATTACTGTCGTTGCGCGGCTTCTTCAACCTTCTTGGGGTTCCCTCCGTGGAGATGCACATGTGAGGAAGCTTTCCTCCAGGGGCCGGTTCCTTGCCTTTATTCAAGGGCACTTTCTGCTGCGCCCGCCGCAGGAAGTGCCCTTGCTGTTGGAGGTTGAGTCGGGAAGGAGGAGGGTGCACTTTTAGTTGCTGCCACTCCTGCTTCCTTCGCTCTCTTTCTCCTTTTGGCCTCGGCTTCGCAAATGCGCTCACGCCTTGGCCTTTGTATTACATCACGAGATGATCTGCTCCAGACTCATTCCAAGCGATAGATTGGGGTGGACATTTCTGTTCATCCCCATAAATTGAGGTGAGCACTTCTGTCCAGCCTATTGGCTTCCCGGACAGGGCCTTCAGTTCCCTGGCCGTTCCCCTACCTGCCACCTGGGGACGCGCCCGATAGGTAGCCCAACCCACGGGATTGAGGTGTGTTATTTGAATACGTCAAATATTGATTTTATACTCAAGTAGACTACTACAAGTTCTAAAATAATTACATCATTCGTCAAAAAAGTTCCTAAGNTTTTATACTCAAGTAGACTACTACAAGTTCTAAAATAATTACATCATTCGTCAAAAAAGTTCCTAAGAAAATGATGGTTTCAATAAATAGTACATTCATTCGACCAAATTTTAGCCCACAAAACGTCAAGATAAGTATCCGAACAATTTCTTTTCGAAAGGCGAGATTATAAAAAACGACAAATTACTGATAACCAGTGAACTTTCTTCAATGAAAATACTTTGAATTCACGCAGTAACTTATCGGAGTGAGGTAAATGTTTGACATTTGTATACCTGCAAAAAGTTCTTCGTTATAATTTCAATGTATTTCTGATTGTGGAAGTGTCTAATCCCCGATCGTTAACTTCCTATAATGATTATTTGATGGATGTAAATAGTGGATATCAATATATGCCTATGTAGTATGTATCCATCACCAATATTTTCTACTGTTTCCTGTATCAAACTACTGTTTTACTGGCACAAAACCTACTGCTGACCGTGAATATGACCTGGCAACACTGGCTGTTTTCATATGGCTCCACTTCATAGTTCACAAAGATAATATAGTAAAGTTAGTATAACCCGACCAATAAATAACTTGAAACGTTTGTTATTTTTAGGGCAGTAAAATTCGTCAGGTCCGCTAATTAATGTCCATAAAATCCATAGAAAAATCAACAAATCTGCAATGGATTTCTTTGTTTTTTGTTTTTTGATTGCGGTGGAGGTTTGATATTGATTGTTTACAAATTGTTTCTTAATGATGTGACTTTTGGCCCATTGTATCTCTGAACTAACTGATAACCTGTGACATGAGATTTGTCGTGGAAAATTAGTTAGTGAATAACATGAAAAATTCACAATATAATCAGGAATAAACGAAAAACTACGCACTAAGTATGGAAATATTCCTCAATCAATGCAGAAGCATGTAAGAAACGCAATATAGAGGAAACATTTATAACAACCTGAAAATTATTATGAAATGTAATAAATATAGTTTGAAAAAACTAAAAAACGTGCTTTTAAAGAACATCGAACTGTTCATGAAATATTTCTGGAGTATCTATTGCTATGTGGGCATACTCTCCAACACGTTAAGTTTCAAACCTTTCTTCTAGAAATGAAGGGGCTTGAATTCATAGTTGAACTCATGTCCCTCTGTGATTAAGAAAATGGCATATGTCAAATTTATTTTTCCATTCTGAAAACTATTTTTGTGTTTCTAGATGCGGGCTTTGCACGATCTTCCAGTTTGACCTATATAAAACATCAGACATGACCCACACGATACTGAACTTTTATTTTTGTTTTCCTTAATATGCATGCCTGAGTTGTTGGTTTTGAAAGCAATATTAATTTTTTTGTGCAGAAAATTTGAAATATTTGTAGTGGGTTGGCCTGAGTAGGTTAAGGTTCTATAACTTGTATCTTCTTTTCTTCGAACTGGGTGAACTTCCTTCAAAGCTTGGCTGCATAACTTTTTTGATAATAAAGAATGTATCAGACTGCTATCATAATCATTATTGATGGCTATTTGTCTTATCATGTTCAGTACTTCATTGAAATTTGCCTCTGGCGAGGGCACATTTATCAGTATGTGGATCATACTGTTGAAAGCTGCTACTTTGTGCTGATATGGATGGGTGGACGAATTATGAATGATAATATCTGTATGTGCTGGTTTGCGACCAATTGAAAAATCATGTTTGTTGTTGACTTTTGTTATTGTCAAGTCCAAAAAATGTATAGAGTTGTCCTTTTTCATCTACATTGTGGAGATGCCACTTATTTTATCACAGAGAGACATAGGTTGAACTGTGAATTGAAAGCCCCTCCATTCCCAGAAGGCAGGATTGAAACTCAATCTGATGGAGAGTATAAAAATAAACAAATTCAAAAACTCCCAATATCTTACGAACGATCAGATGGCAATATATACTTTAAAAATAATTCAGCTTGCCGAAAGTAAAATAAATATCTTCTATTTACTCTCCGTTCCCGCCACTACAGCTTTCACCAAGAGAGTTTTTTTCAGTAATGAATCTAAAGCAGTGAGAAGAGAGAAACAGAGCATGTCTTAAAAGCACACAAAAATCATCTTTTAAGACAATCAAAGCATGAAATTTGAAAAATAAGTACTATTTTTTTCTTTCAAATACTTAATTTTTTCCTATTCAAACAATTTATTCTTGTCAGAAAACGTTGGCAACCCTAACTGTGATTGTGATGGATAATGCAAGTTATCCTTCCAGAAAAGTTGAAAGAATGCCAACTAATGCATGGAGAAAAGCTCATATCAGTGAGTTGCTTCGACAGAAAAACATATCATCTGATGAAAGTATCTTTAAAAAAAAACTATTGTTCAAAGTATGTACAAATAAAGCTCGTTTCACGAAATGGCTAGTTATGGCAAAAAAACCGTAATAGTATTATTCTGCTTCTGCCTCCTCATCATTGCGAACTCAATCCCATTGAACTCATTTGGGCTCAAGTGAAGAAGACATTCAAAATGAAAGATGTCAAAATACTCTTCAAGGAGTCCAGCAAGTTGACTGAATCATAAAACCTCTAATCATAACATAAAGCACCATGATTATTATCTGTTCTGTTCTGTTTGAAATATGTTTTTCCGTTAACCAGCTGTCGCACCTCTACGAACGAAAACCCTCAGAAGTCGAAACTTGTGCGAGCTAAGGATTAACGAGGTCTTACCTTTTAGCGTGTGATTTCCTAAGACAGGTTGGACGATTCCTAACACGTTATCTTTTCCTGTCCATCATTATGTGAATATTTAAAATCGAAATGTTGAAAAAATATTAATTGTAGGTATATAAATAATTGAACATAGTTCATAGTTATAGGTTTCAACCAGTATTTTTAATTAAATATCCAAACGCACGCCACTGCAGGTGGAAATCCACCCAAATGCTCATCAAATCTTCTGCTTGCGACCCTTTCGCGATACAAAAATAGGGCAGACCTGGTAAAGTATTATATAATCGATTATACCATCTGTGGCAAAACATAAGGAAATCTCAAGATTTTGTTTGAGCTTTTCTTTAGCGTTTGGCATTTATTATGAGCATTTCTTACTTTTCATTATTGGGAATCAGAGTATACCTAAATAAATATGTATCTGAACAACTACAATAGTAACTATACTAAGCAGGTAAATAATATGCTCATCAGCTAAGTACTTAATGAGTGCTTTTACGTGTTTGTTTAAACACAAGAACAGCCAACTAGATAACATTAGGCTGTGGTACAAGAAATCATTATCTTTACTTTGTGATTATGTCAACATTCTGATAGATTATCTGCTCCTATACTGCGGTATCTATAATATTGAGCGAACATATCGGCGTTGTCATATCTAATGTAACCTAAATCCCAGATACAATCACATAAATCTTAGATCTATCTGTGTTTTAAGATGTTTTTAAGATTATATTTTTTAACTTAATTGGGCTCATCGTTAGATGTACATTATACACTTGAATACTGAAATTTTATATTGATTTTGAGGCAAATCAAATAAATCAAATTCGATGTTGAATTCCTTTAAAAACAATTGTCCAATTTTGAATCAGTGATATAATATTATCTACTGTCGGATTATTTTATTTTCCTTTTCAAAATGCACTGGTTATATATCACAGTTATTATTTAAAAATACAATATCAAGAATTGTATGACTGTAACAAATGGAGCATTTTTCTATGTCTACAATGTATACTGATTAGTCTCTCAAAATTCTTCGCATGTTTTTGAATTATTTCTCTGTCTATTTTCAGGTGGAGTAAAATTCCACTTGTGCATAAATACTGAATCATTTATTCCACCTCCACTTCTTTGTTTGAGTACTAACGAAAATATTTTCATTCCCGAATAAATATCCGTCCAACTGTTATATTCATTATTAACAGATTTTCAAATAGTTCTCTTCCGACAAATTTCCGATATTCTTAGATTAACGGACTTATTTGGCAACGCTTTAAGACAACCATTTACGATGAGTGCGTGATGCGCAAGCAAAGCGAGAAATTCGAGCATATGAATTAGTCACAAACAGTGTTGCCACTTTGTGGGATATTCAAGTCAACCTCTGAGAATTGGTTTCATCTAAAAATCAAAGAAGAAACTGCTCCTAGTTTAGAACATCCTATTCCGTAGTACGAAAAATCTACCTGCAGAGAACAGATCAAAGAGCTTGAAATTCAAGAATATAATGTAAAGCAAATGGAAAGTGTTCCCTTGCGAAAACACACAAAAATGAAAATTTTACAGGGATATAGTGTTATTTTGGTCGCCGTCACTCAACAAAAAGTCTTGTGTCTGAAGTTTCTCATTCATATATGAATCAATGACTACGAAATTAATAGAGAGAGAGTATCTCCAACTCATTTTCACAATTTCTAAGATTTCTGTGAGAAAGACTCCCCATTCTAGAAAACAAATTAATTTTCATAGGAAAATTAGTACAGATGAGTAGAAAATATACAATAATTTTCACATATATCTGGTTTCGTAATTCACAAGAAAAAATTTATGAAGAATTCCTATGAAACAATTTGTTATAACATTCAGAAGATACAGAAGGTCTGCTCAAAACTAAGATGAATTTTCATTTATCTCAAAAAATATATACTTTTTCATCAATTTCTGTTTTGTCCCCTTGAAAGAGGAGATACATGTTCATTGGCTTGCCATGGACTCTGATCTGATATGTTTAGATCTTCACACGCAGGAAAAGAGGAAGGCAATAAACTCATTTTTACCTTTTCCATTCCAAAAATGAAATCCGCACGTGATTTGAAGAATATTGACGAAAAAAGGCTCAGTGAATCCTGTTCTTCAGAAAACAGCTTTAAAGAAGCAGTTTAGCGAGGGGAAATGACGTCACCAGATATTCAAAATCTGAAGATGAACGCTGAACAAATTGATTGTGACTGTTGCCAAAAATAAAAAAGTTAACAAAGCCTTGCAAATAGCTATGCAAAGTAATGGTTCGTTAAATTTCAATGTTAACATATCACATTCAGTTGAAAGTAATGAAATAAATGTGTTTATACTTACCAATTAACAGGGTGGACAGAACTGTATTCATTATCTGAACATATCAAAGCACTCGAATATACTCATCCCTCCATTTTGATATTTTATTGCTGTAAAAATAGTAAATTTGAATAGTTGCACTGCAGAAACGCTTTCAGTCGTTTTCTATTTTGTGGTTCGAAATTATAAGTGAAAATGATATTGATAATAAATTGTACAATTTCAATTCATTTTTAATATCTACTTTTGACAGANACTCCACGACAAATATCGTTTTGGTCTGGTGGTCGAGAAGGACTACATCAGGCTTATTAGCTTGTATGAGCCTGAGGGTGGGGAACGAATAGTTCCAATAAATTCGGCACTTCTCGTTCCCCACAACGGATTCAATATCCCCCGGAGCGTAGGGCAACACCGGTGTCTCGTCAATACCGTAAGAGTGCCGTAGATGGTAATATAGCACTCTTAGGGCCGCGTTATGTCGATGGATATAGGCCGGATATATTATTATTATTATTATTATTTTGTCCCCTTCAAAGTAGTGTCCCTAGATACAATTCACGAAATTTGAAAATTCATCTCGTATGCACGCTTTCAATTTTTGTAAGTACACCTACTCCCCAAATCTAACTTTAGCCAACACTTGGCAACGTTGTAACTAGTTCAAGTTTTGAATTGAGTAGCGGTCTACAATGCAATCAAGACTTTTTAATTAGTTTTCGAACAGCATTATCTTATTTAATTTTGAATGTGAAGTGATATTGTTGTATTCTGCTGTTTGTAGTTTTCTAAACAACAAGCCATGTTCGATGACCTCCGTAGAAAAGTAAGTTTATCTGAACTTATTAGCAAATATAATAGTTTGATTTCCTTTTGGGTTTGTTGTTCAAGTTTAGGGGTTGTATCGTCTATTTTGTGATTTCTCTGGGGTTGAATACTGGCAATGGTGACATATGTTGTCGAAAATAACACATGGATCCAAAAACGAATTTGGCAGAATTAGGTATTAGTCATATTCTACGTGGGAGAGGTATAAACATTTTAAAAATGCGTTTATATGCATAGTTTCACAATGACTTTTTCATCTATTTTAGAAGCGTTAGGAATTGTCTAGGATTTACTTTTGGAGGACGGTTTGTATGTCAAATGTTACTAGATAAACAAGTTGGATAATAATGAAATAAAACCGATTAACATTTGAAGTTTTAAAATAAATTACTTTATTTATAGATATGGATCTAGATTCTTTCTTTTACACATAGCGACCTGTCCGGGCTTCGCATGGGTATATCAGAACATACTTATATATGCCTACTTTTTTTCTGTTATAGTGTCGCATCAACTCATAACTAACAATGACCTTTGAGAAAATTCACTCCAACATAACTATAATCACAAGTATCAATTTTAATTTTAAAATAGGTAATTACTTGTCTTCATAAGGACAACTCAAAATTAAAAAGCCTTCAAAAAATTCTCTATGTTGAACAAAACCAACGCAGTTTTTTTCGTTCAAATTGTATAGAGTGAAGGACAATTATGATTTGAATGAAATGCTTAAGGTTACAATATTCTGTTTCCTGAAATAAAAAAGTTATAAATGCTCCTTATGAATGCAAAACGCTTACACAGTGATCAAACAAAATGTCATTTCATTATAACTTGCCACAGCTAGTGTAGGTGGCTTTAGACTTACCGGGTCCATTCAATTTTTTATTTTCGCAAACATTTTTTTGCCTATTTTTTAAAGAATGTTTTGACACAACTTGAGACGTTAGATTTTTTCGGAAGAAACGAAATTTGTCATATCGACTATTGTATGTCTTTACTGTATTTTTTTATCACCACTCAAAGAATTTCTATAATTAATGATAATAAAAATGAACCCTGACCTGAAGTCACCGAAATATTTCACACACAATCGATAATTCGAAAGTGAAAATTATTAGGTTAGGTTGTCCTACATTCTCTCTATTGATGTTCTGAAATGGGATAATTGGCGATTATTTGCAAGAAAGAGATGTGAACTGATAAAAAAGAAAGTCAAAAATTGGTTAACTGTTACTCTTTACTTGATAATTGTTATTTTTNTTGATGGAAGTGGTTACGACGCAATTCTGATAATATTTTAGATCGATAGAACAGTTAAGGAAATGTGAGAGGTGAAATTTTCAGAAAAATCATGCTTTGCGTTTTCCAGAAACGTCTAACCTACCATCGAACCGTGAGTCACGCTGTATGTTTTGGTTGGTTTGAAGATTGGATTGAGTTAACCCTTGTTTAAAGATGGGTAAAATACGCGAGAGAATAAAATGAAAATGAAATACAAAATAAAATATAAATGCATATCCAGTACTGAGTTTTTCAGAAAATAGAAACCATGAGTGGTTGTACCGGGTTGAACCTTGTCTAGTGTTTTTAGTTGTTCGAAGTTTCGGCTTCGAGTTTGAAGGCATTTTCAAGAAGGTACTACACTGAGGTCTCAATCTACCTATTCCTCAAGAAGTGACACGATGTAAGAGTTCTGTGACATGACGGCCGGGTCTCAATCTGTCTACTCCCCAGGTCTCATCACTGGTCTCCGCAAGTGTATGAATCTGTCTACTCCCAAGCGCCGACGCTTCAAAGTCGAAGCCAAAACGTTGAAACAGACTCAGATTATCAGATTATTCACCGCGAAAACCTACCCGAACACGCAATGTGAAAATATTTACCGCTCCTATTGTTAGAATAGATTTGTATATTTCAACTTGCAACAGGTAAAAAAAGGTAATAAATTAAAGAAACTATTTGGAGCTCATTGTTCATCACAAAGGAATTGTCTGTACCTGCCATCTTTCAAATGTTTCTGGTATCAACAATTTTGGATTATCTAGTGACTCATTATACTCTTGTAACATGTATGTGAAACTTCTATGAGATGGAGATGAGATTAGACCTCTTAAACGAAGGTTTAAGTTGTGAATATCGGGGATGACGTCATCACATGAACATAGATCACCCTGTATTAATCAAACGAACCGTGAAATGAAATTGAAAGTTGACCTGTTTCAAAGTCTTCATCAGAATGCAAAACAAACTTCTTATTGTCTCCCAATGGTTTATGGATAAAGTTAATTTCAGCTCAGTAATTTCTCAATGATTTGCTTGACTTTCAACTTGTTTCTATTCTCATGTCTCTTTTCCACTGATTGACTTTCTTTTTTCAGAACAAAAGCAAATACTTCATAGACAGTAGCGACAAAATAAGCTATTTCTTTGAAAGTGGCGCATTTGATCCCAATGGCGAATTACTCGTGGCTCCCGAATTATACCTCAACAAAATCGGACATGCCCTCCACGAGCTGAATTCTGTTTTCAGAAAATACACTTTTTGCGAAAGGATCAAGGAGGCTGCGTTTCAGCTTGGTTTCGAAGACCCTGTGGTACCTCAGAGCATGTATATTTTCAAAAACCCTGGGAAGTCTAGTGAAGGTAATATATTTTATCGATAAACTGACTATATTTCGCACTAATTATATTACATTCTGGGGTGAAGCTACAAAAGAAATGAGGGGTTCCATGGATCCCCACAAAAAATCTATGTACATCATATCAAGTGATCTAGCGTTTTCCTATCCACCGGTTTGAATGATCATCATCTAATGATTTCTGAACTGGCTTAACGCAATTAGGTACTTCATCTTGCCGAAAGTTAAATTCAGTTGAAAACTGATTTTAGTTTGTTAGTTATTCAAAACGGTAGATAGACAGATAAGCTGTCCCTCAGAATAGCCTACTAGGTCACCTGATATGACGCCTCTAGATATTTCAGAGGGATACGTGAAATCTGTAGTATACATATTCACAATGGGGAATGTTCCTCAATTAGGGTTATTACAGCAAATCCAAGTTTGAATGAAGTTGAGTTTGATTCATGAGTTAATTTTCAAAGGTATTTGTTTCTAATTCACATAGATAGAAAGGTAGATAGATAGATAGATAGATAGATGTACTCGCTTCGGCGGTACATATACTAAAATTGGAACGATACAGAGAAGATTAGCATGGCCCCTGCGCAAGGATGACACGCAAAATCGTGAAGCGTTCCACATTTTTCTGATGATGTGACGATGATCGTTGCAGAAAAAAGAGAAAACTTTCAATAAACACTGCAAACAGAGCACTTTTGCTGGTGGCAGACTAAATGGAGAGTAGACTTCTTAGTTTAGCTCCAGAAAAAACCGAAGCAATATTGCTCACTAAAAAAAGAAAAATGGGACCAATAACATTTGATCTGCAAGGCACAGAGATAGTACTGAACAAAGCTGTTAAGTATCTTGGGGTATGGCTTGACACGAAGCTCACCTTTGCCGAACACGTAACCCAAAGTATCCTCAAGGCAGAAAGAACAGTTTTTGCGCTGGCCAATCTGATGCCCAATGTTGGGGGTCCTAGGTCCTCCAAGAGGAAGATTTTGTCTGGAGTAGTACACTCCAAGATTTTACACGGTTCACCATCATGGCACACAGTAACGCAAAACAAAAAATTGGTCCAAAAACTCACCGGCCTACAGAAGACAGTTGACAGTTAGAATATGTAGTGCATATAGAACAATATCTGCAGAAGCAGCATGTGTTATTGCTGGAATTCCACCAATAGAGCTCCAAGTCATCGAGAGAAAAGAGAAATATGCAGGCATTTCAAAAGGAATCGCTAGAGAAAATTTGATAAATAACTGGCAACGAAAATGGGATAGCGGTCAATACGGTAGATGGACACACCGATTAATACCTGTAATAGAGAGTTGGTTGAATCGAACCTACGGAGGTGTGGACTATTACCTCACCCAGGCACTGTCGGGACACGGTTGTTTCCGTAAGTACCTATATAACCGTAGAAGAGCAGAATCTCCAGAATAAGTTTAAAATGCGTTGTTTTAGAGTTCTTTTATGAAAACTACTTGATTTTCGTCAGGCGGAACATTCCCCATTGATTTCAGAACTCGAGTTGAGAAAGAAGTGCTTGCAACGTAATTACTATAGGAGCATTTCATAATGTAATAAGGAAACTTGAAAATACACTTTATCATTGTCAGGAAGTGAATGATGAATGTTTCGAACATTGATTACAGTGAACTAGAATTAGTTTTGAATACGGATACATTTTTTCTTGAAATCATGTTTTTCGTCCGTTTGCATACTGTTAAAACAAATATTAAACCACTAACCATTCATGAACGGCTGATCAGATTTACAAAAATGAAACAGTATCAAATAGTGATAAAAATGGCACTTTTTTACGTAAATTGTATCCTAATTGTATCCGGCTTAGATATCTATACATTGTATTGATTGACAGAAAGCAAATGAATGTTAATCTATTGAAGAGTGACATATTTCGAAAAACATCTTTGGGAAGCTGAAGATTTATGACGAAAAGTAATTAGATTTTATCAACTACTCTTCCGACTGTACCGGAAGTTGGAAGCAACTTTATCATTTCATTTGTTAAACCCCATAATGGACTGTTTGTTTTAACATCCTGATATTTCAAAGGGGTAGATATTTTTGGGTCCTTTTTGAGATAAAAAATATATATTTGTCCTAAAGATTGCAACCTTTGAACTACGGGGTTCTAAAATATCAAGACAAACAGGAGTGGACCAGTTTTCAGCTTGAGTGAAAGTTGCAGAGAAATAGAAACCGATGTCTCATTCGCTATTTGATCTGGAAGATTTGGCATGCACATGATTACCTTTGATGTTCGAAGTTTGAGTTTCCTGACCATCTCATACAAGGCAAACATCATAATTTCCTCCTAGTTCTCCTTAGTTTCAGCTTGAATTTCGTATTTCCAATTTTAGACATTTGACAATTGTACAAAATTTTTCAATTATCGACAAAACCTCGAAGAAAATTAATATAAAACCTAACCGACTCCATTTCCAGTTATGGCCCACCAAGACGCAACTTACATTCATACGGAACCTACGAGTTGTGTAGGTTTTTGGATACCTTTGGATGACACCACCATAGAGAATGGATGTTTATGGTTCTCAAGAGGTTCGCACAAGAGTGGAGTTCACAGGAGATATATCAGAAATCCCGACAAAACCTCTGAGGATCTTCTTGTATTCACGTCGCCAGCTCCCTATTATCAGAAGAGTAATTTCACAGCTGTTCCTGTTAAGAAAGGTAGGTATATTGTTTACTTCGTATTCAAGATGAAAACATCTATTTCACTGAGGAAAAATAGTTTATAGCTTCTCTACAAATATATGGAAAGCTATGCAGCTTCATTGGCTTATTGCGTTTTTGCTCCCATCTTTTGATAAACCCCTTCCAAAAATCCAGTTCTCTGATGTACTAGTTTGTACAGGTTCTCTATTGGATATTTGTCATATTCTCCTGGATCTACTTTTCGTTGTAGGTAAATTGCTCGAATCCAGTACCTTACATTTGCATAAGACATGACAGCTGCTAGCAATTTTTGGTCTGTAATTTCTCAATGTTCAATCCATTTCAGCTCCTCATTTTCTTCAGTTCTTCACAACATCGCCAGACCAATCTCAATCATAATGCTCGGAATCTAGTCTAGCTATCTGTAATAATAACATTATCTATCTGCAACATAATTCATTGAGGCCTTAAACTGTTGATCATTACGTCCTAAGATCGGATATTATTGACAGAGCGTGTAGCCAAAATGTAGATGAAAATTTGGTTGGCTCAAGAGGTCGTGTGCTTCTCATTATTACCAAGCAAGCAAATCTTTTCACTTTGCTGCACCAAGCCCAAAATGCATTTGAATAAATAACATTATATGTAACCAATATCTGATATCAGCATATATCTCTATGTAGGTATGTGCATCTAGACAACATTAGTTCTAACTTCATCTTCCGTTCTAGATACTGGTTCCAGGTCAGCCTGAAATCTCTATCACTCTTGGAAGTTCAACCACATCTGTTTCAGAGTTGATGTTCAGGACCAGATACCTCGTCTCACACCGAGTAACTCGTTCATTATGTAGTTCCATAATCTTAGGTATCCCATAAGTATTGTGTCTTGCTACCTGTGGCACCACTGTTTCCCCATAATGGTATATCTTGTTGATATCTAATTCATCAAAATATTCTTGGACATGGATGTTCATATGGTATCCCACAGAGGACTTAGAATGGATATCCTTCAGGGACACTATTTGACAATGTCGAATTGGCTCTTCAATTTTCAATATTGTTTGCATTTGGGAGTGAATTGCTATCAAATGAAAAATTTTTCTCATCATGGTCCATAAATTAAAGATTGAACAAAATACTTACGACAGATTTCGATTCTTCCACCATCTATCAACATGTGAACAGAGTTGGGCCAATCTCATTTCTCCTGTCGAGTCTTCAACCTTTGTATCAAAAAGCTAATCGATAAAAACACGAGGGTTTCCATGTATCTTGTCAAGCAGTATCAAGAATATCGAAATTCATTCAATGTCTTTACCAAGAGTGCCGTAGGTTGAGACAAAATATTTCACATAGGACAGGGGTCCACAACAAGCGTTTCTTCTCAAACTTCTGAACTGCAACACTCTTCTCAATATGCGTTTTAACAACCAAATTGGCGTCTTCGGGAGATGAAATAGACTATTCCTAACTTTAATAATCCTAACTTCAATAATTGGATACCCGTTGCTATACCTATATCATCTATATCCCTGATAACAGTTTCCTCAATATCGTATATTTCTTTGCCCAAGAGGAACAAGCCTATGGACAAGAAAGTTTAGTTCTGCCCTTCTGTAATGTGAACAAGGTGTGACCTATCAGAAATATGGTACTCTTTCTATAGACATCAAATTGTATACCATGATTACCTCTAATAAGTTAGACATCCAAGAATGGATGTGAATTCAGTATCCGGGGATCTGTTGTTATGAGATGAAGTAAAGGCCGCTACTTCAGGGGAAAACGTAATAAGTCCATGAGACTTAGAAGAAATGGATAAATAAGAGTTTTCGCTAGTATTAGGAAAAACACATTATTGTGACATTTTTCACTAAACAGTTGATAAAATCATATCACACCTGATTCACAATCCAATAGTGCAAACATATTTTTTATTTCAGGATCTTGCATTCTCATACATGGTCAAGTCGTCCATTTCAGTGAGCCGAATAAATCTAAAACTCCCAGAAATGCCTATACTTTCCATATCGTTGAACAGAAAAATACGAAGTACTCTGAAGATAACTGGGCACAACCTAAGGAGGGAAAATCATTTATGAGTCTTTATAGAAATTAAATATATCATCAAATTTCTATAGTTCAGCCAGATTACGTGAATTTCAGGAAATATTACAGAAGGTACAAATTATATGGCTCTTGATGTTCAATGTTTGAATTTGAATATATTCCATCCGTAAATGTTTATTATTTTCTTTTTTATGTCCGTTCTTGTGCCCTTTCCAAAATTGAAGGTCGACTCTTTCAGTTGTATCGTCAGGAAATTTTCTGTGAAGATTCCTGTACTGACGCCTGTCGGATATAATCCAACCCTCTTTGTGGTATTACCCAGGGGAGTAGTTGTTTTCTGATAGGCGTCAGTCCATTCAACCTACTGTGTAGGTATATTCGAGACTGGCTTGAACGTTTGAAGTTCATTTCTTTAGATTTATTATTTTGTTTATGGTTATAGGTAAATCACTGAAATTATTAAACCGTCTAATATTCCAAAAAACCATTGTCGCAAGGTGGCGGTGCATACCTCTCAAGAAAAACAAAGAATTTTTAAATGACATTTTACTTTGACTTTTCCCCGACATTTAAATTTGTTCGTTCAACATTTTCTTAACATTTATCATGAGCTCTCAATATTCAATTATGAAGGACTAGATAAACCTTTGAAAATACTATTATTCACAGGAGTACTTCTAGAAGTTTCGGGCTAAAAACACATCTTAAAATCCTCATCAGCACATTTTTGAATAACTTCGAAAGTCGAAACTGCAATTTTTCCGACTTTATGTTAACGAAAGCGACAATTCTACGCCTGTCAACATGACAGTTCGTGAAAACAATCATACAGTTAGTTGATTCCATATCTTTTTCGTTTCGTCTTTCTGAATTTATCCAAATGAATACTGATGAGGAGTTGAAGACAGGTGTTTACTATGGCGAAACTTCTAGAGATACACCAAGATATGATATTTTTTATAAAGTAACATATTTTGTAACATAAAGTATACGTTTATGAGTTCTGTGTGGTAATAAAAAAAAGTCTACCGAAGAGGACGTTAGTATTTTCAAAAAATAGTAACATCAAACGGTAAGCATGTGATCCATACAAATGAATCAAAGAACAATGGGCTGAATATGTTTTTTTTTTACTATTCTGGAGATTTGCTTTGTTGAGGTTCAATTGTGAATTCGTAAGATTGGTGTCGTTTGACGCTATTACTGTAGAGGGGATGAACTATAATGAGTAGTTGAAATAAAATGTATCCGTTACGTCAACTACAAGAAATCACAACCATTTGTTTTGCCGTTTTCCTCAATTTTAATATGATAGACGTCGTAACTGCTCAATTAACTGTTATATGAAGGAAAATCCCTACTAATAAATCAAATCATAAACAGCTGATCAGCACAACTGCATGTGACACATAACAAAGGTTATATTTTTTAGGTTTGCGGGGTTTGGGCTCATCCATTGTGAGTTTGTTAAGGTAATGCTTTTTTGTGAAATTATTACAGTGATGAGAAACTCACGAATAGGTCGAAGGAATTATTTTCGCTAGAAGCACAAAAAACCATAAATATTTATGAAAACAGCACGCAGCACTTCATTTTTGTTTTACCTTTCAACTTAGTTCTAATATTTTCCGTAGACGTATCTTGGCGATAAATTTACTGTAATGTTTCGGTGGAATGATTCAGTGGAAACTCTCTTCTCGTCGGTTATCACAAACATAGATGTTATGAAATATCCCAAAATGAGTCCACCGATTGATTCGATGGATTGTTCTACCCGTCTATTCAAAACGTTTGCGTGTTTCTTTTGATTGTAGAAATCCATCTGAATCAAAGATCTTTTCTCATTTGTAATAATAGCGTTTTCCATTGGTAAAACCTGTGCACATTCATAACACTGGTTTTACCAATGAATATTTTTATTACATCCGTTAGCTGGTACTGTCATGTGCCAATCGCAGAACATAAAACTCGAAAACGTCAGATCACAGAATCGAATAGTTAGTGGTGAGGTTTTGTTTCCATTTCTCAACGGAAAATTTTTCTTTTTGAAAAAGATATCGAATTAGTATTAGAATGACTATCTTCGTATGTGGTAAAAATGCTAGAAACAGTAATTCCTTGCATTGAACTCTTTAAAGTCATTATTTACTATGCTTTTTATTGGAGTTCCAATATCGGCAAATTTTTGGTGGAGATTGTGATAGAATCACTGGGACTATTGGTTACATCCATCAGGATCCTAACTAATTTATTTTTCGTGTTAACGGAATCTTTAGGGATTTTCTGCAGAGATGTCGTACAACTCCTACTGTCACTTTTGGGACTTTTAATGCAATTCTATAAACAAACTGAGAATAGAGTGATATGGACCCAGCACAAGATAAACAGTACTGTGGATCAAATATCTCTGTCCATATCGTCTTTTTGGATTCTCCTCAATAATGGCTTTGGAAGTATTTTCTCGACTATTGGAGAGATTTTCTTATTTTGTAAACATGTAGTCGTTCTCTTTGGTTCATGTGTCTGGTTTGTGGTGACTTTTATTCCATTCTCTATTTGGAACTTCGTATTTGGGATCAACAACTTTCTAGAAGAGCTCCATAAAACCACTTTTGATTTAACAAGAAATAGTGCAGTGTATTTCAAGAATTGTTTTATTTTTTTGACAGATATACCTGCTGAAGCTGCAATTGGATTACTGTTTGCTGCTAGCATAGTTTATATCTTCTCACAGTTCTATATAGTTATTTTTTCATATTTATATCGTCACACGAGAAGTATTGCATTAAGTATCTATCGTAAATTTAGACGAAGAAGCAGGCGAGTAGTACAACGTCAAGTGATACAACAGAGAAACTCACAAGTAGTGCCTAGGAAAAGACCTGAAATAAGGAGCGAATTGAATTTTAGTCGTCGATCTAAAGAAGATGGAGCTGAAGAAGTATTTTGTATAATCTGCCAAGAACGTTTAAAATGTATATTAGTTCTGCCTTGCCGGCATGTTTGCATGTGTTCTGAATGTAACTCAAGACTACAATTGTATAATAATACTTGTCCAATTTGTAGGAATAATATTGAAAGTACAATGAAAATATTTTTTTAGAATAGTTTTTTATTTCCACCCTTGTTTTTCAAAATGAGTTTTTAGTGTTTTGAAATAATGATAATCTTTATTCAATCTCTTCAGGGATTTTATCCACGAATGAAAATCATGAGAAAGGTAATAACAATATAGGCATATTAAAAATTAACAAAATACAAATACGAGTGTATCACTATGTTATCAGGTTTGTACACATATACATAAAAACATTTCAATTCATACTGGCTAGTAAACAATTTTTCATTAAGCTCCAGAAATTCTCTGATAGTGAAACAATTCTCTTGCAAATATCCTTTCAATTTTGATATGGAGTTTTCATAGTGTAACTCAGGTTTGCAGATGATTAAAAGAAATTATACCTCNTTACTTTCTACTATTAGGAAACAGTATAGCTCCCACATATTTCAACTTCTGAGGGTTGTAGTTCGTAAGGGGGCAACAGTTGGTCAACAGAAAAACAGAATTTGAAATGCCTTGCCCAAATATCGAATGAAAGTTTAAAAAATCTGAGTAACCTCAAAGCAAAGGGTCCAGTACTCTTTTAGAAAAGTGACAAATCCCCAACTTTCTTTGAATATCCAGGCTCAAGGTTGCTTATGATGCTTGGTCTCCAATCAGGTGGATACCTTGGTGATCAGACATTTTTATATATGGTTCTACGACATTTTTCTTCATAAAGAAAACCGATGCCTGGCTTTTGGTTACTCTTATGAGAAGCTGCAATTTTCTCCAGTTAGAATGATGAAGCTCTACAAATATTCAAGAATATCTTGATAACAGCTCACTCAACAAAAATGTGTTACGTATTCACATTCACATCTGGACAATTACAGTGGAAAGGGTTTCGTAAGAAAATAAAAAAAATAATAGTATAAACAGAAAGCATATAATTTATAATAATACATGAACAACATTCATACAATCAAAGACGCTACGATTTGTTTTTTCAACTCTAAATTGTCTTTGTTGCCTTGAATGTCCCTGAAAGAAAAACAAAAAGTCACATTCCAAGATGGAACTCACAAAATGAAGTACCACAAAAAGTTTCTCGTTGTTAACAACAATATATTTATGAATTATAGGCAGCACTATCATTTACTTGCCTTTCAATGAAGACTTTGAGGGAATCTTTTGTACTGTCAGGAACATAATTTTTATTTGCTATGTATTTGAGGGCATAAAGGCAACCTTCCAAATTCCAGGTAACTTTGGCCTTCTTATCTTCACTCTGTAATGAATTGTTCACTGAATTAAGTCTCCCTGAATAGATTGGAAAAACTATGTCTTCAGAAGTAGCCTGATATATTTCAATTTTGAAACATCAAACTTCAATATTGTTATTATCATTAGGTCTTACCTTAATCAACCCCAAATTCACCAAAATAGCGTTATTCACCAAAGAAGTTTTTTCAGTTTTCTGTGCCCATGAAAACAGATCTTTGTATAACGATTCCGAACACTTCAAAGCAGAATCTGCCACTTCGGGTTTCATATTATTATATCATCAGTTTCGCTGTCTTCAGATTCATTATCTTCCAAACTACCCAATATATGAAGTTTGCCTTGAAAAGGTACAGAAACTTCATTATTGAAACTTTGGAAGAATTTAATGACGGAGTAATAATAATATTTATGATGATATAAACAAGTATGCATATATGAAGTATAATATATACAATGTGTAAAACCCAAATGGAATAAATTCATCATTTCGGTTACTGTGCATATTTAAAAAAAAAAACCGAAACTCGTCAAATGTAAATTATAATTTGACATTCTACAACGTAAATATGCCACCCCTACCTAACCCCCTTCGAATGACAGGTACAACCCCTAATTTTTTAAATGGGAAGTATAGGTTTTTGATATATCGTTTGAAAGATCTTTTCATTCTCTATTCAAAAATGTTATCGCTTTCAATTTCATCGCAACAATAAAGCATGACCGTTAAGAGACAAAGAACACTCATCAGAAAACATAACGTCTTCTAATTGGATGATATTGTTATCCAACATGTCCATCATATGCTCACAAAAATAAGTTCTTCTATCAAAATCGTCTTCCATGAGCTCCCGAGTAGGTATCATTTTATAGGGATGCATTTTATTTTCTTTTAATGTTTACTATCGATGAATGGCTAACATTGAATGTAGTGGATGCCTGTCTACTTGATGTATGTGGGTTTTCCTCAAACTCAAGCATCACATCTGATTTGAGTTCATCACTCATTGCATTGGCAGCTGCCTTTTTTTATCTGCCCCACATGACCAAGCTCACGAATCTGCTTCTCTATTTTGCTTATTGTTCCTTGAGATACAGACAGTAAATTAGGAAATTTCTCATGAAATAGGCGACCTACTTCCTGTTGTTTTCAGGTTTTATCTCTGTAACCAATCATTTGTAAAACTGTTATTTTATGCATTTCCGTTAATCTAACCATTTGTCAGACTTGAAGTTAATGAACTTAAAACTCAAATTAAAACACTGACAACTAATATTGTAACATAAAAAACAAGTTGACAAGGCGTTTTAATCTAACTTTGCCACTGAAATTATTTATAGTTTTTTAAAGGATAAAAAAACATTGCTATGGTTTTTGCTAACTGTCTTATTGTCAATACCTCAACATAAAATAAGTTTTAAGTATATTGCAATAAGTTTTGAGTGTATTTTATCGAATTTTGGTAACCACATGATTTGATTTTATTTTATCTTAATTGTTGAAATAAACTTGAAAGCGATAGCATTTTTGAATAAAGAATGAAGAGACCTTTCAAACGATATATCACAAGCCTATACTTCTCATTTAAAAAATTGGGGGTTGTACCGATCATTCGACGGGGTTTGAAGTTGGGGATAGCATTTTTCCGTTGAAGTATGTCAAAATTTCAATTTGAATTTGACGTGTTTCGGGATTTTGTTAAAATATGTACCGTAACCGAAATAATAAATTTATTCCATCTGGCTTTTACACACTGTATGTATTGTATGCATGTACTTTATTCACATAATTCAAACAAGTATTTTGGCAAGTTGTTGTATTTAATACTTGAATAGTCTTTCAAAATTCAAATATATGTGTATTGAACAAACAAATTAAAAAATAAAAAAAGCAGACGACATTCTACCGTAAAAGTAAATTCAATTTGAAACAGGTAAAATAAATTTTAGGGACTAATTCATGTTATATTGCAAAAGCATATGGTATAATCTTTCGCCAACTTCTTGTTTCAAGTAAAAACAAACTGCCTCAAGAAATGAAATAGATATAACTCACCTATTTCCTTCAACTTTCTCTTGATCTCCTCCTTACCATCTTCCCCAAACTGATTCCCGTCAAGTATCAAACTTTTCAATTTATTTTTATTGGCCATAGATTCTACAATCCTTAAAGCTCCTTGTCTCTTAATTTCGTTAAAACCAAGAGTCAACTCCTCCAATTTGGAATGAGCATTTTTCAAAGCATCTGCTAGCAGCACCGCCCCCTTAGTTTTCAACAGACAGTCCCCAAAATTGATCTCCCTCAAGTTTTGAAGGTTCGGTAGAGCAGAGGCAATGGCAGCAGCGCCTTTAGGTCCAATCGTGTTGTCATTCAGATTCAGAACTTGCAGGTTCGTATTGTGAGTGAAAGCATCTGATAATGCTGATATACCTGGATGGTATATACCATTTTGAGGCATTGCTATTTCTTCTAATGTACCGATCATCTATAAAATAAGTTTACATGGAATATTTTTCAAAAATGATAATAAGAACAATGATAAAAAGTTTGTCTGAACTGATAAAAGCCTTGAAAGGTACTACTTCTGTCAAGGCAAATCATAAAAACACATACACACATAAGCCAAGTAAAATAATTTAATATGGTGAATACTCAAGAATTTTTTTTATTTAAATTTCGACAGCAGTCGAAGTGAAGCAGTAGCAACAGTGTTTCGTGACCACGTGTAAATTAGAAAAATGTTGTTTTAGGGATGTTGATCTGATACCTATGGTTTTGATCATATTTGTCGGATTGTACCTTAGTAGTCCTAAGTAGTTAATAAGACTCCAAAACCCCAGTCAGTGACTTCTGGGGTTCCTCAGGGTTCTGTTCTCAGGCCATTGTGGTTCCTCATATACATAAATGACTTAGGTCTCAATTAAGTCAAAGGAGCATGTACTACGTTTGCCGATGACACCACAGAAGTATTGGCATTCAAGAAACAATGATGAACTCAGTAATAATGTTGAGGACGATTTAGATAGAAAGAAAAAAAGACTAGTTTTTTTTCCTCTCTTTCATTGATTTGGTTTTGTCTGAATATTTTTCCATTATATGCCCAAGAATTTTCTCGAATAATGTTGCTAAACTAGCTATCAATGTGATATGTCGATGATCCTTCATTTCATTTTAGTCACAATCTATAATTACAAATTTTGTACATTCTGGTACTTGCAAAAACTTACTTTAAAAACTGAAGCTAAAGCCTTAGCACCCTCGTTCTCCAGACGATTTCTTCCAGCGATAAAAACTTTCAGTGCCAATGGTTTGCCATCTTTTTTACTGCAGTTGTAACAGTCCGTTAATGCAGAAGCCAATAATTTTCCACCGGTTATTCCAAGTCCATTATTATTCAATTTCAATTCTTCAAGAGCATAACATGAAGAACTTCGAAGTAAAGAAGCTAAACCTTCGACACCAATGGGGCCAAAAGCATTGTCGCTGAGATCGAGTTCAGTCAGTCGGGCTCCTGCAGCAACCAAACCTTCACCCAGATATTTCTAAAAATTCAATAATGTTAGAACAACAAAATCATTCTATAATGAAATAGAATACTTTACTGAAAACACTTGAAGGAACTATTGTATAGCGAAAAACATGTAGCGGTTTTGTAAAGTGTCCAGTGAAAATCTCATGATAAAGTGTTACTTGAATACTAATGCATTACTTATACTGTTTATATTCATAAAGATGATGATTGAATAGTTTTGTCATTATTTTTACATTTCAATGAGAGATTAAACTGAAGGAAAAGGAAAATTTACCAAAGCTTTAGGTATTTCAGTTTTCATTCGGCCTGTAAACATATCTTTCCATAGGGCTCTCTTGAACTCCGGATGCTTTTCTATAGCTTTGGCTATAGCCCTTGATGCATCAACACCGAGGGTATTGCCTTCCAGATTAAGATACTGCAGACTGGAACATTTTGTAATTTCCTCGAGAACTTGTTTGGCTGGAACAGAAACATAACATTCCTCTATTTGTTACATTATTTTGTAATAGCACTCACCATCTTCCTCTGTATCTAGTTTGAGAGACTTTCCGGCAAATGTTACTCCGGTTGGACTGACTCTGGTATTCTGTAAAGCTGATGTGACTGAATCAATATTAATTGAACTCATTTTTCTACGTCTTCCAAGTGTAAAAATGAGCTTAGTCAAATATTTAGGCTGACAGGTGCGAATAAGTCGTTATAAATTTTAAAAAGTGATGCTTTGGCAACAAAATTTTTCAAAATTCACCTCTATGCAACACGTTATTTAGGAACTTCTTTTATGAAAATTGGTTATGTTGACAATCATGACTCGCGACAGCTTCTTTTAAGCCTAACTTCACTCTTCACATCACATTATTCTGTGCTATCTTTATGCTATATCATGATAAAGTTTTAACCCCTTCTTTCATAAACTTGACATGAAAGGATTTCTACACAGAACTATTAAAATATGAAAAATTCGATAATAGTGTTCACCACTTCAACTTGAATAATTCAAGGAGTGATCGAAAGCACTGTTGATCTTGTATATATAGTATACATATACGAGTTCTTAGTTTTGGAATATTGTTATCTGAGCATGTACATCATCCTCAACAAAGTTGTCGAAGTTGATTTAAAATACAAATGGAAATTCACTTTCTTCATATATAAAATTGAAAATGTTGAAATTTTAGATTCATCAAAAACATACCCTGGCTTCATCTGTTGATCGTTTCTTCCCTTGCATACAATTTTTTATAGAGATAGCCAGTTATCAGTAGTTAAAATTAAAATATTCCAGTTATACGTATTGTTGATCAGATGAAAGAATTCTGATTTAATGCTAACTTACAAGCTCGGTTTCTCCGAATGTTCATAAGCAACGACGAGTCTACTATTTTGAAATCCCATTTCTGAGTTTCATATCAATCATTTGATATTTCAGAAACATTCTAGGGTCTTCTTACAACCTGAACAATTCTTTCGACGGTATGTGGTGGCACTTTCAACACTTTGTGAACTGTGAACAGTTCGTTCCGTCAAAATTTACTATTCTGTGGTTTGGGAAACGCATCTGTTAATTTTTATTTTTTTATGGATAGAAACACAAAAGTGGATAGAAATTCAAGAACCTTCAAAGGGGAAAGACGTGCAAAACAGTAGTTCATTTGCTTCTTGGAATTTGAAATGGAAATTTTGGGGTTTAAGCTTTAACTAAAAAATGAACTAGAAGATATGTGATTTTAAGTTAGGGTTGTTTGACGACAAATTATACCTATTTATTAAATAAATTGAAATATCTGACCATGGTGAAATCGGTAGTGAATAAGCAATTATTGCCTATGAAGGCACACTATTTTCTTTGGAATGCAGGTAAGTATCTGTTACAGTAAATAGTGTTTGTATAAATTCCACAAACAATATTGAACATTTCACCAGTTCTGCTTCTATATCGCCCCAGCTTTTCTTTGTGTAATTGTATGGTTTTTCATTTTTACTTGTCTTCTTAGCTCTTATAAAGTAAAAGTTTATCATCATATCATTTTATAGAATTTATTCGAGAATTCATATATGCCCTACTTTTAAGAATGTGATGTAATATTATGCTTCTTTTAAATATACCTTGATTTGAGAAACTCAACGAAAAAATCATATTTCCACCATTTATATTCATTCCAGAGTTCATTAAGGAAAGGGAAATACTCTGCAGCCCATTTCTTATGAAATTCTCCTTTTTTTTTGCAGACCATTCTACAGACTTTACTCCTACTATTTGCTATGAAATTTTTCAGAATTCTAACCAAATTATCTGAAGACTAAGTGTCAATGATTAATCCACATATGATTTCTGTTATGAGTTTGAATTATATATACATCCATCCATTATCTCCTGATGAAAGAAAATGAAGTTCATCTAGACTTGACTACAAAATTTTGTTGAAGGTACCGGTCCTGTTGTTCCATTCCTATCTTCATATGCAAGACAGCTAGGATTTTCCAGTGTGGTGGTAGGATTTGTTTACACCATCCTCCCAATCAGCGGAATGTTAGCAAAACCATTTTTTGGATCTATAGCGGATAGATTTCATTGCCAGAAAATTTTGTTCCTTATTGCTCAGTTACTCACAGCTGTAGCCTTTTTATCCATATTTTATGCTCCTAAAATTGACGTTGATAGACGAGTGCATTTTGCATGTCACGAAAATTTAGCAGTTTTTGACACAAATTCGCCGGATTCAGTGAACGACTGCAGTATGCCTCAACTCCGCAAAGATAAAACTATGGATAAATGTGAAGTAAGTTAATCTTTATGCTATATAAACCTAATTTAGAGTTTTACTGAACTCTACACAATTAATCCCAATGAAGTTATCAGAATCCCTTTTGAATTTCTTTCAGGTCCCAATTTTAGCTTTAATGTATCGACATACAACTTTTTTTTATCGCTACTTACATATTCTTTTATATTGATCACGAATCTGAAGTTGCAGTTTGACGCAAACTTCAACTTTCGGAAATACAATCCTTCAAAAAACCAAGAATAGATTGTTTAAGTGATTTGGCAATAAAATCTTTATATTTTCAACCGTATACATTAACATCTTGAAATGATTCATCTCTTCTTACGTTTCATATACCAAAAGAAGGGTAAATTTTGAATTACTTGCATTTTCGAAGTAATGAACACTTACATTTTTATTCCATGAGCTCTATAAAATATACTAGGTGTAAACCGATTCAGGCATCAGTAAATACTTATTCAAAAATTGAGTTATTATGGTATAACCAAGGTATTAATTGTTCTATATGCAATTTTAATATCTCGTTTCCTCGAAAATGAAGCCACTTTTTCTGTTGTTTGTCCAAAATACGTTAAAGCTCTATAATTTTTATTTTGATTATCTAACTTATCAATAGGAAAAACGTCTCGAATCAGTTTTGGTTTGACTTTTTTGTGAAAAGTATACTTTCCAAAGACTATTTTGTCTTCTCCATCACAACACCACAGTGATCTTTGTGAAAACATGATTCTTGTTGCGACTAATGTCTTATGTATCCTGTGATGATCCATGAATTTATTATTTTGTTTAAATTGAAGTGGTGTCTGAATTGATGTTGATGTAACACAATCACAAAAAGGTGTTACTTCATGTGTAGGTAAATAGCGAAAGAGCTTTGAAAATAGTGACGTGATGCTCATTTTCATTCTTTGAAGCTATGTACTATAAAAGAAGGCCGAAAGAGGTGAAAGAAGGTGATGAGTTTTCATTGCGGAACCTTGAAATTTGGTTTTTGTACATTTTCGACATTTAATCTCTGAAAGTTGAAGCTTGTACCTATATAGTGGAATATATTGGGTAAAACATAGCAGTACTAGATGATGAAGAGATTAATAGAGAGAAGAATGATGAACAACTCAATTGGAATAGTATTGTGCCCGTAGATATTGAGATAAGGAGCGTTTGAAGAGTTGGAGGGTGTTACTTTGTTTAATTTCATTAGGAAGCTTGTTATAGTCCAAGAGTCCTCTGTGAAATATAGAATTGATTGTTCTTGCAAGGTTAGTTTGTGGGACAACCAAGTCATCTCCTCCTCTTGTATCGTATTTGTGTATCTGATGGTTATATGTAATAAACTCATAGAAGTAATATGGTGCTTTTCCAGTGAGTATCTTGAATATGAATGATGGACCTATTGTAGGTCCCTGTAGTACCCCACGCTTTATTTTTTCGGTTTTTGATATATTAAATGAATTTTACTAATTCAGGAATGAAAGATAGCTCTTATATATCAGAAGTGTTTCATATTGAACTTTATAGAAAGCTTTCCATAAATTACAATGAATTCTATACGTTTACAACTCATTTACCAGAACCTACGGTGTAGGTAGTTGGGAAAGATGAATATTTCGAAATTTATTTGGAAATGTTTATTTTCTAGTTCGTATGTATCTCTCCCCGATACAGTCTTCAGTTTGATATATAAATATATCGGAGATTTCTGAGGAGAAGTTGTTTTGAACTCAATAACCTACGGTTCGGTTAAAAACCTCAGTATTCAACTCGGTTGAGAACATTGATAGATACTTTTATACCTCCACTGTTTCTTTGACAGGTGTAGACACAAGCCTTATAAAATTTTTCAATCGCATAAAGGTTTTCCTTTTCAGATGAACTGTGATATGAAAGAAAACATAACAGACATCCTCTGCAAGGACTGGAAGTTATCCCAGTTCTGTCAAGCAGACCACCCCGATACTTTTTCTTTCACTGCCAACGTTCCGAAATCAGAAATCGACTTGTTGGGCTCCAAACTCATATTCAGGGTTCCAAACGTCACTCTACCTGACGGCAGAGTTCTTCAACCTGGATGTCCTATCTCACGGAGTATATCAACTTCTTGTCAAGTTAACTGTGGTGATTATGATATGAATGATCTCATAGCGGTCACTGAAATCAAAGACAGCGTCGTTTATAGTTTACACCACTTTTGGATCTTTTTGTTTCTCATGGTATTGGCATGGATAGGACAAGCTGTATCGGTTAGCATAGGAGATGCTATTTGCTTTGAGTTGTTGGGTAAGCATTTTTATTTTTTCAGTAATGTACGACTGATTCACTTAAACTAATTATGACAGGCTCAATAAAAACGACAAATGATCTATTGCCGATTTTCTAAAAAAGGAACTATTATTTCTGATTTGATTCTTGACTATGTACCTATTATATATCACCTTTTTTTAAAATATTTTTTGGCAAATTGAAAAATAACAGTGCCTATCTGTGGCTAAAAATAACAAGAGCAAAGTGTAAAAAAATTCCAACAGAAACACAAATTCTCTTGAGAAAACGTACTAAGTTTCAAATGCAGAAAAGAGCAATTATCTTCTTTGAAATTTTGGTTTTGCCCAATCCTCAAACACAGCATTCTCAAATTAATTTCTTGACTCTCAATTTTGCATATAAGAAAATTACAAAAAAATATACTTTTTTATTGACAACCTTAAGCCTATTTTTTAACATTTTGTTTACTCGCCTACTTCTAGAAGTTCCTTCATACTTCTACTAGCAAATAAGTATGTCTCTGATTCGATTATTCTTCAGAACTTTCTTGACACGAAGATTTTTTCACTGCTCTTGCCCATAATTAACTGTTGCATCTCTTCGATAATACTCATTTCTTTTGTGCAACAAAAACTACATTCTAAATTACATCAACACCCAATGTTACAACTTCCAACCTCACTTTTCACATTAGGTTCTACTTTAAATTGTAATATCTCAGTAAATACTTATTCAAAAATTGAGTTATTATGGCATAAGAGGCACTGCTCTTGATCTGGTGGGGTCTTATCTATAAAATAGGTATCAGTGTATCGACGTCAACAATATCAAGTCAGATTTAAAGCCAATTTGTCATGGCGTTCCTCAGGGTTCTGTCCTTGCCCCGTTATTATTCATCATTTATATGAATGACTTATGTAGCTTTATTTCACCAACAAAATGTGTTTTGTTTGCCGATGACACGACCCTCATATGCTCGGACAAATCACATACCAGTTTACCTCAAATAATGGACAGAAATAAAAACTTAGCAAACACTTAGTTCACAGCAAATAAACTGAGACTGAACGATAAAAAAACCCAAAATATTGTGATATCCTCAAACACCAGTGTACTCTAGGAAACAGTATTGATACTAGAGTCAGTTGGTGCAGCTATATTGAAACAACTACTCGTAAGCTGTCTAGTGTTTTACTTGTTCTTAGACAGTTGAGAAATGCTGTAGGTTTGATGAC